GTTAATAGCAGCAATGTCCACAATAGCCAAACTATGGAAAGAGCCTAGATGTCCATCAACAGATGGATAATGAAGATGTGGTATATATATACAGTGGAATATTATACAGCCATCAAAAAATTGATATCTTGCCATTTGCAACAACGTGGACGGAACTAGAGGGTTTTATGCTAAGCGAAATAAGTCAATCGGAGAAAGACAATTATCATATGATCTCACTGATAAGTGGAATTTGAGAAGGCAGAGAATCATAGGGGAAAGGAGGGAAAAATGAAAGAAGATGAAACCAAAGAGGGAGACAAAACATGAGACTCAATCTCAAGAAACAAAATGAGGGTTGCTGGAGTGGAGGGGGGTGGGAGGGATGGGGTGGTTGAGTGATGGACATTGGGGAGGGTATGTGCTATGGTGAGCATAGTGAATTGTGTAAGACTGATGAATCACAGACCTGTACCCCTGAAACAATACATTATATGTTAATAAAAAGAAAAAAAATAGCAAATACCTTATTTGCCTTTTTTTTTGAGTGAGAGTGGGAGAGCACGGGGTGGGGGGGCCCACTAGAGGGGCAGAGGGAGAAATAATCCCAAGCTGACTTCACGCCCAGCACTGAGCCTGACGTGGGGCTCCATCACACGACCCTGAGATATGACCCGAGCCGAAATCAAGAGTTGAACACTTAACTGACTGAGCCACCCAGGCGCCCCTTATTTGCCTTTTTTAAATGCAAAGGAAAAAAATCATTGAGGTATAAGATGAATTAAAGTATTAGTTTTAACCATACTGGATACGTGTCATAGAATCTGTTTTAACTGTAACTAGTTATTAGCAAGGAAGAATAGGAGAAATGAAATCTACTTGTTTCTCTTGAACTTCTTAAAGTTTTGAGTGCTTGTTTAGGTTTTATTCCTAGGGGCACCTGGGTGGCTCATGTGGTTAAGCATCTGACTCTTGATTTCAGCTCAGGTCATAATCTCAGGGTCATGAGATAGAGCCTGGAGTTGGGTTCTGGGCTGGGCATGGAGCCTGCTGAAGATTCTATCCCTCTGCCCCTCAAACCCCGTCTCCCTCTCTTAAAAAAAAGAAAAAAAGGTTTTATTCCTCTATAACAATTTATATGAATTTAATTGATCTTTGAGTGATTCGTTATTTTTGTTTCAGTTCCAATTCTGTCCTGTTGCATTGGTTTTTCCAGGAGAACATTGGAACATGGTATTTGGAAATTGGCTCAGGAGTCCTCAAAGACTAAATGTGATTTATCCTGAAGTCTTGTTCAGTAGATCTACTCCAAATCAGTTGCTCCTGTCATCTCTTTCTAGTTTGCCTGGACTTCTAATAGAAAGGGAATTAATATTCTTTACCCTTAACACTTCTTACCTAATCAAGCAATCTCTTTGCTAGAGATTAATTTCCAGTCTGCCTGAGTTTTCTTTGCAATCTAAAAATGTTCTCTATTCGCTTCCAGATATGGCCTCTCAGGCAGTGATGTCCTGGATAATGTAGCATATGCTCGAGGGTTCAACACAGACCACCAGACCCAGCTCCTTTATCAAGCATCAGCCATGATGGTAGAATCTAGGTATGTGCTCAGTGGAAGACACTGAATCTTATATAGGCTATTTGGCCAAATTGATAGTAACTTGAAATAGAAATGGAGAGATTTAAGTTTTAGTTCTTAGTCTGACGCTGTTGCATTGTGGTTCAGGTCAAGTCACTGCCATAATCCACTCGAACTTATTGGAAACTTTACACGTTATATAGTGCCTCAGACACGAATGCTGTACAAATATTTTAATAAAACATTTATGTACAAGTGTAACTGAATATGACAGCTCAAGGTAGTAAGGAAGGGAGAATTTGACCAGGCTCAAAATAGGCTTCATAGAATCCTTGTTCACTGTAGGTACGCACTGCTAATTGTAGACAGTGCCACTGCCCTCTACCGAACGGACTATTCGGGTCGAGGGGAGCTTTCAGCCAGGCAGATGCACTTGGCCAGGTTTCTGCGGATGCTTCTGCGACTTGCTGATGAGGTAAGTTGTGGGTTCAGGACAGAGAATGCCTACCTAATTTTCAGGGGCCTTGCTGGGAGGCCAGAACATCAGGGCCTGGTTTCACAGATACGAAGATATATTAATCATTCATTACTTTGTGGGGAAAGGGGTGGCAGCAGTAAGGTCCTTTGGACATAAATGACATTTATCCTTTCTCCATCAGTTTGGTGTAGCAGTGGTAATCACCAACCAGGTGGTAGCCCAAGTGGATGGAGCAGCCATGTTTGCTGCAGATCCTAAAAAACCTATTGGAGGAAATATCATTGCTCATGCTTCAACAACCAGGTAAAGTGATGGGATAGGCGACTTCGTCTTGGAATGTCATATTAACTGATGTAGACATGAAGATAGAACATTTCCGTTTAAATCCAGTTAAAGCTACTGTTGTATAATTAGACACATTTGCTAAACATAATTGTCATGCTCTATTAGTGCATATATTTGCTTTCATTTTATAAAGGAATTAATAGCCCTCAAATTTGCAAGACTGAATATGAAGGATATGCCTCTCCCTCATTTTTAAAAAACTGTTTCAATGTGGAAAATGTACTAAGGTGGGGGGCAGGGTAGGAGTGGATTCCTCCAGGTTGGAAATACCCCTAAGGAATACAGAAAAATTCCCCAAAGTCCTAGGAAGTATATAGGTCTGAAAAAAAAGAACTAGATCTACCATAAATAAGAAAAATATTTTTAAATTTTAACTTTGGTCTGGTTGTTTTGTTTTGGGTCAGACTGTATCTGAGGAAAGGAAGAGGGGAAACCAGAATCTGCAAAATCTACGACTCTCCCTGTCTTCCTGAAGCTGAAGCTATGTTTGCCATCAATGCAGATGGAGTGGGAGATGCCAAAGACTGAAACATTGGGGTTTTTCCTGTGATAAACCTTAAGTGCCTAATGGAGAGGACTGTTCCCTCGGGTTCTTCATAGGCCTCTTCCTGTTGTGACTGCCAGAAAAAGGCTTCCGGAAAAACAGCTATTGTATCGGCTTTTCTGATGGTGTAAACAGGAGACAGGTCAGTAGTCACAAACTGATCTGAAATGTTTATTCCGTCTGGAGTGTATTAATTTCTTTGTGAATTATTTCAGGGGAAGCAATACCTTTCACATAGTGCCTTGGGGTTGAGTCAGGACTAACAGCTGTCTACTGGACAATTTTTAGTTCTCTGTAGACAGAAGCTGGGGAGACTGGATTCTTCTCTCACTGTCTGAATAATGTTGAAATGCCTGTGTGGCAAAGAAAGTGGGTCTTCTCATAGGTTCTTTTCTTTCTGCCAGTAAAATTCTGTCAGAAGCAAGTTGTTAGTTTGCCTAAATTATCTTATGTAAGAATTTTTTAGTTAAGGGCTATGGAGCAGGCCTTCTGGACCACCAGCCCTTCACCGTCTACTTGGTTTTTTAACTGCTAAGAGTAACTCAAAATAATTCTGGAATCTTAAGCATTTAGGGGCTCTTTAAGTAGATTTAGTGTGGAGCTGCTAAGAGTTATTTGTGCTGTTTGAGTATTTCAAGATAGGGCCTTTAAAATAACTTTTTGGCACTGGTTGATCAGTTTCTATTGCTTTAAAATTGAAAAATTTTAAAGGGAAGTCATATATTCAGATGATTGAGCTTATTATCCTTCAGTCTAATAGAGATTATTACAAGATGAATATCCCATGACTTTCCACTGGCCTTTGTGAGTCCTATGTTGTAGAGTCCTAATACTTGTCCGGATTATTCTACTTCAGGGGTTTGAGATCCTCCTCTTCTTCAGACTTCTACTCAGGATGGCTTTTAACCAGCTCTTTGAATTTCAAAAGGCCTGTCAGCTAGTACTGGGAGGAGAGACACAGAAAATCTCTGCTGTTGCCTGTGTTGATCCTACTGTAGGTAGGGAGATAGGAAGACACAGTCAATTTAATGCAGCTTTGTTTAAAGAATGGAGTACCTCTCCAGTCTTCTCTCTCATTTCTATACCACGAAATAAACCTAGGATGGTATAGTAAGCCAGAGTGACAGATTCTGGAATGGAAGCTTGGTTCTTATATAAGAGCATTTCAATCCTTCAGTCCTATAAACTTATCTGTTATTCTTTGTGCTGTTGGTCATAAGAGTAGCCTAGTTGGGGGCGCCTGGGTGGCTCAGTTGGTTAAGCGACTGCCTTTGGCTCAGGTCATGATCCTGGAGTCCCGGGATCGAGTCCCGCATCAGGCTCCCTGCTCGGCAGGGAGTCTGCTTCTCCCTCTGACCCTCCCCCCTCTCATGTGCTCTCTCTCTCTCATTCTCTCTCAAATAAAATCTTTCTTTAAAAAAAAGAGTAGCCTAGTTGGAATAGGCCTTATTAGGCTAAAATAAGTGCTCAGCCTGTGTTTCACATGCAACTAAAATTTCCACTGAAAGTAGCTTTAACCCAAGAGCTTAAACTATTGGGTGCTATTTTCTATTTGTCTGTAGTAGTTTCAGTAGTAGGAAACGATTACGGAAATGTCAGGCAAGAAAGGAGCTGATGGCAAACATAGGGCAATATAGTCAAATTTGGTTTATTTCAGGTTTGTACCAAAATATATTCCAGGCAACTCCTCAGATCACTATTTCACAGTCTCATAAGCCTTATGCACTGGTGTCCTTCCAAAAGCTGCCAGGACTCTGGAAGTAAAGCAGTCCAGCCCCTCAGCCCAGGATAGTTAGAACTGACGTGATGGGTGAGAAGGGGGCAACATCCATGGGCTGCCTGGACCTTTCCTTTTACCCTGATTGACAGGGTATGGCCTTAAAACTGTAGAGCTTAGAGTCAAATATTAATAGAAAAGATTAGAGTACAAGTTCTGTTTTGTTCTTAGAGCTCTTTGAAATTCATCCACCTCTCCAGCAGGCTAAAGATAGCCCTCAGTGCTATATATATTACTCTTGATTTTTCAAGAATTCACTTAACTATAGCAATCCCAGCCTTAAGTACTTCCTCAATTTCAGATAAAATAAGGGATTAGAATAAATTAACCAGTGGGCAAGAGGAAAGAAATTGGGGAATGGTTATGGATACCAGTCAGACCCAGGAGTCAGGACCACCACTTAGATTCCTGATGATCTAAGCAGGGCAGTCTCCCTCAAGTCACGAAGGCCACTGAAATGTGATTATTCTCTTAAAATTACTTCCAATTCTTCCAAGTCCTTCTGGAAAGCTGAATCCTAAGGGAAACAAAGACAAGGACTCATTTCCCAAACCACTGATACCTTCCCTGCTGAGCTCTGTTACCACAGTCTTGAACCTACTTTCCCAGAATAGCCTGCAGCCTATGAAATCTGCCTCCTCCCCTAGGAGCCTATATGCAACAGTGTATAGACTCTTTTGTAGGGAAATAAAACCTCAAGGGAAAATTTTCTTTCCTGAAAAGGTCACATGATTCAATAATGGAACAAAGTATTACCTCGTTGGTGACATCCGGCAGCTCCAGGGCTAACTTCATCCACTGTCTAGCTTCAGAGTTTTTTCCTAGTTCTCTGTAGCACTGAGAAGAAATAACAGTGAAAACCTGGGAGAACCACCACCAGGAGACTGAACTTTCAGGACTTCCCATTATTTATCAACATATATAGTTTCATCTACATTGAAAAAAAAACAGGTGAGTTTACCTTGGAAATATATACCCTCCCTGCTTTGGAAAATCCTGGCTGTAATTCTTCAGCCTAGAAAAGGGAAGAAGGCATTTCAGTAAGGAAATTACCAAATTCAAGTCAGGCTGAAGTTTATTAAATAGAGCTTTCCAGCCCTGGTCTGGGAAACTCTATCTTTATAAGCTGTCCAGGTGGTTCTGATTTTCCCACAGAACAGGCAGGCATAAAATTGCTGCCTACCAGAAATCCCTCCCTTCCTTCCAATACTTCATACCTTTAGGAAGCTTTGGAGGGCATCCTGCACAGTGGCACTGAGAGGGCTTTCAAACAAAGCTGTAGCAGTTTTTTTTTCTAACCAGCTCAGGTGAGAGACCTGCCACCAAAAGATCAAAAAGTGAATTAAAAGGTGGTTTGTTTTGTTTTGAGAGAGAAAGCTGGTGAGGGTGGGGCCAGAGGGGGAGAGAGAATCTCAAGCAGATTCCCTGCTGAGCTTGGAGCCTAACACGGGCTCAATCTCATGACCCTGAGATCATGACCTGAGCTGAAACCAAGAGTCGGGAGTTCAACCAACTAAGCCACCCCGGCGCCCTGGAATTCAGCTTACCTGGTAGCACCACCTGCCAAGGAGAAAGTGAGCCATAGGGTTTTCTGGCTGGAGAGCAATGGCTTTGTCCACGTGCTCCTGAGGGAGAAAAAATACAAATTGACATCAGAGTTGCTGAAGGAAGAACAGGAAGTCGTAGAAACTGTAGGAGCATCCTTTGCAAGGAGCAAGGAAAGAGCCGCAAATCTGGACTAGAGCAGCACAAGGGAAGGAAGAGAAGCCTTTCCTCACCTTGAAGCTAAAGCCACTCTGGATGCGCCTCTGGATGCTCTCATGCTCAGCCAGCTGACCACAAAGCACTGCATACCTAAGGGGGAAAGCCGCAGCAAGCTCAGGGACAAGGCACGGGCTTCCCATCCACTGCCCCCTTCCCCCTCAAAGAGAGCTGAAAATAGCATCTCCATACGTACAAAATTCCTCTTTTCACAGATCTGTGGTCCCAATTCATATTCTTTAGGCTCACAATTCTCCAAAGTATGCTAGGTACAAAAAAGTGGGGTCCACCACAGTAAACTTCTCATACTTAACATTTAGGCAATGTCTCAGTCCAAGTCTCCACAAATTTCCCCCTATAATGAGTACAGCCACTGGGGGTTGTAAAAACTTAAAAAGCAGGATCTCTAATAATCAGCATCAAAATGTAAGGGACCTAAGTACATTGGTTCTTATCTCCTGAGCAGACACTAAAAAGTCTCATTAGCTTTAGAAGCATACAGGCATGTCCTGGGGAAGCTATACTCCAAGACAAACTGGGATACTCTAGGAAATTCTAATGTTAATTTGGGAACCAACAGAAGCAGAGGGAGAAAGGCTTCAGATTTTAGTCCTCTCCACATCCTCCCAAGGGAACAAAGCCAGCCAGCTTCCCATATTCTGTCTTCAAAAACAAAAGTCTCACTACTCCATCCCCCCAGCATTGTTTCTGGAAGCACAGCTGACATTAAATGAGTGTCTAGAGACCCAAGTTGCTTTTTCATATATTCAACAAATATCGCGGGGGGGGGGGGGCGGTGGCATTTGTATCTGAAACTTCCAGAGGCTCATTGCCGTATTTCCTCCAAAAAGCCGTTCCCTAAGAATAAAGTATGAGATCAATTTCCAGCCTTGGGAGTCCAGGAGCCCCAAGGAAATCCACAGGGAAGTGGCAATGACCTGGCCTCTGAGAAGAGCTCTTGCAGTGACAATCTTAGGACAGAAATATGGAAAGCAAAGGGGAGGTGAGAAGGGAATTTTCACTAAGACTCTGAGGTGCTGGAACCAGGCCCTAGGACAGAAGTTGGCCTTGACCCATGGAAGTTGGAAGAACTTTGCCTCACAGGAGACAACAAAAGCAGGGCTGATGTTTTTGTAAGCTAATAAACTAAACTTCCTGGGGATGAGCTCGCATTCGCTTTAACTCATGCCAGCCAAGCAAAGAAGCCAAAGTCTACCACCAGCCAGGGATTGCAGTTAGGGGGAAAGAAGAGCTTGTGCAGGAGCTACAAATTGTGCCAGCCTCCCTGAAGAACCAAGAACCCACAAATTTTGTAGCAAGGATGACTCAAAAAGCTACGTATTTCTCTAAGCTCCAACAACAACAAAATCGTCGAATTTGCCCTTGCCTCACTTCCAGGGCACCTTCCAAAAAAACTCCCCTGGGTCCCTGGTTTGGGTTAGGCCCAGCCATATGGTAATAAAGGCCAGAACTCCCTCTCCTATTTCCTCTGGTAGAGAAATGGCTCTCTTCTACTGTAACTCAAGCTAGCTCTTCCCAGGACCCCGCAGGGTGTTATTACCACTGGTGACAGTCAGCATTCCCATCCCCCTTCTTCAGGGCAGCCTCTGCTTCTTCTTTTCCTGTAGGGACAAAGGTGATCCAGAGTTGACAAGGGCTCCCATGCACACTTCCACATAAGGGGCTATGGCAAGAATGACTACTCTAGCTCTTACCAATCCCTACCCAACCCGGGATTGTTTGCAATAATTCTGAATTTGAGCAGAATGAAAAGCTGCAAATAGCTTTGCAGGGATAATTTCTGCTTCACCTCGTTGCTTTCCCTAGCTCTGTCATCAGCTGCCCAACTACCTTCTTTTTACAACACCCACCTGATGTGTTTAAAGCTTTTTTTTTTAAGGCAGTGTGTGAACAGTGGGGGTTGGGAGAGAGAATCTCAAGCAGACTCCATTCTGAGCGCAGAGCCCCATGTGGAGCTCGACCTCACAACCCTGAGATCATAACTTGAGCTGAAACCAAGAGTCCAACACTTAACTGACTGAGCCACCCAGGTGCCCCTCAAAGCATTTTTTTTTTTTAAGATTTCATTTATTTAGGGCGCCTGGGTGGCTCAGTTGGTTAAGCGACTGCCTTTGGCTCAGGTTATGATCCTGGAGTCCCGGGATCGAGTCCCACATCGAGCTCCCTGCTCAGCAGGGAGTCTGCTTCTCCCTCTGACCCTACAGGCATGTCTCATTCTCTCTCTCTCAAATAAATAAAATCTTTAAAAAAAAAATTTCATTTATTTATCTGACAGAGATAGCGAGAGAGGGAACACAAGCAGGGGGAGTGGGAGAGGGAGAAGCAGGCTTCCCGCTGAGCAGGGAGCCCGATGCAGGGCTCGATCCCAAGACCCTGGGATCATGACCTGAGCCGAAGGCAGATGCTTAACGACTGAGCCACCCAGGCACCCCCCATCAAAGCTTTTTTTTTTATTTTTTTAAAGATTTTATTTATTTATTTGGCAGAGAGAGACATAGCGAGAGAGGGAACACAAGCAGGGGGAGTGGGAGAGAGAGAGGGGAGCAGGGAGCCCGATGTGAGGCTCGATCCCAGGACCCTGGGATCATGACCTGAGCCGAAGGCAGACGCTTAACGACTGAGCCACCCAGGCGCCTCAAAGCATTTTAAATATAAAAGAACCCAGTGGCAATCAAACTGTCCCCAACAGACCAGTCATTTTTCAAAATCCCAGGATTCTCAGTGACATGACAGACAGTGACGAGCCCCGAGCTTGGCATCATTCATATGCACCCTACCTGCCAGGATGCAGACTTTGGCAACAGAGTTGTTAAGTAGATCCCAGGGACTCCTAAGCTAGTAGTATTCTCCCAAACTGCTGCTCACGGGCACTCACCAAACATACTCTACTGATATTCTTAGAGAACACCTGCCCCACAGGCTCCATAACTCAAACCAGATTCCTAAGCAGCAGCAAAAAAAAACCTCTTCAGATTAAGAAAGCCCTCTCTTGCAGCTGGGGAGTGAGAACAAAGAATTGTGCTAGTATGATACAACTACCCCTAAAAACATTTGCACCTGTATTAATCATGATGTGCAGAGAAGCAGAGACTGCTGGCTCAAAAAGAAAGAAGTCCCTGGGAACCAGAGTTTATCTCTCGTGAGTAACTGAGCCACAACTGCCCTGACAGCCTATATCTTGGTGGTTCCCCTGAGCCCCAAACAGATGGGCCAGCTCCCCCCCCGAGAATCAGTCACCTTCCCATCAGGAATGTCAGCACTTACCATTTAGGGCATATGACTTCTTCTCAGTCACCTCTTCAGTGAGCTCACACATGTCGCTATAGGCCCGGGCCAGGCGCCAGAGAAAGTCCTGCTGGCTTCCATACTGCAGACCAAACAGAGGGATGGATGAGGCCCCTCTTCTTCAGCTGCGGAGAACTGGGGCTCTGGCCTTCTTCCCAAGCCGTAGGTTTGAGTTTCCAAGCTAGTGTGTTTCAAACTGACATCAGGCCAGCCTTAGGCACAGCACTCCACCCCCACACGACCTCCCACCTGCAGTTAGCTAACTGGTGCTATGTCATCTCTGGCCAGCAAATGCACCAGCCTCCGAGTGAGGGCATTCTGGCCTGATACTGTGAGGAGGAAAGGTCCACTCTAAGATGAAATGAGGCACAATGAGAAGTCTTACTGACACAATGAAAGATGTGAGAATGCCCAAGAGAAGGAAACATTCTAACTCTGGGGCATTTATACCTGGGTGAGCATAAATTCTGGCAGTGAACCAGAGGAGAAGGAAACTGGCTGAGTGACCTCCACACTTGTCACTTGGGATGGAAACTTCAAGTAGGGCAGGCAGCTTGGGCTCTGCCTCAAGGGAAATAAAAGAGGAAAAAAAAATATTCCAGTCCTTTCCACATTTCTCTCCACTGTAAGAGGTAGTGCTCTTTGGCAGTAGCTCTACAGGAGGCAGAGGACTGTGGTGAGGAGGCTCTGGGGCAGGCGGTTCAGCCAGGCCCCGAGGAGCAGTGCGTGGCCTACTTGGAATAGGATGTGCAACCCTGGGGGATCCATGCAGAACCAGCCATCTCACCCTCATTTCCCTTCCTAGGGCATCTTGCAGGCTTACAAGTGACAGTGGCCTTCCTCCATTCCCAGGGTGCTGGGGGGCTAGTGAGGGCAGACAGGCAGCTGGGGCCTTACCGCAGGCTTGTTGCTGAGCAGCAGCTGGAAGCCCTCCCGCTTGCCCTGCTCGCTGCCCTGGTGTAGCTCATCCGCCTGCTGCAGGAGGGGCAGCACGTCCTCCAGGCGAGGGGAGCCTCCAGCATCCAGGGCTCCAGCCACCGGGCCCGAAGCCACCTCCACCTCCAGGTCCGGAGAAGCCTTTCTCCCCATCTTCACAGTCTCACAGCTCACTTCATCTTCCCCGTCATCACTGTCCCTGTCAGAGTCCCGCTCATAGTCAGACTCGGCATTGGCTGTGGTGTAACTGTGGCAGAGAAACAGAAGTGACAGGGTCAAGGGAGATTATTTAGCCTCAGAGCTCTAGGGTCTGTCTCCCACCCACAAAGAGGGAGCTTCATGGCGCTGCTGTCCAGAGCACCAAGTAAAAACCATTTCTACCACTTAGGGGCAGAAATGAGTACTTGAGAGAAAGCTTCCTACCGGAACCACGGGCTGGGAAAATGATACTGGAAGGAAAGTGACTAGCTGGGGGCACTGTGGCAGTCAGGGGCCAATACAGAACCCCCAGCCGAGCTACCAAGTTGGCCAGATAATCAGAAAAAGAAAAAGGTTAGAAAGAAGCCGCCTAGAAAGGAATGTAACAAAATGTTGCTAGATCTCATGGTAGAAGAATTAAAGAGAATTTTTCTACTTTTTAACATTACATTTGATTGCTTTAATGAGCATATGTTCTTTTAGGTAAAAAAAAGAAACACTTAAGATAAAAAAACTGTAATGTGGGTGGAGCTGATCTCCTGAGCTAGATGGCTCACCAGGCTAAGGGTTTGTCAATCATTTTTGCCTTATCAGCCAAAAGCACCGCCAGAAACAACATGGGTGGGTGCCAGCCTCCGAGACCACGGGCAGCCTAAATATCTACATATTCTTTTTCAATTCAAGGTATACCTCTGTCCTAAGTCGGCAGCCAAACCTAAACCACAATAGGAGTAGCCCTTGGAAACCTTAGGAACTTGCTCGGGGTGGGGAAAGGCCACTCTGCAGCCGGAATCAGGAGAGGAGGAAGATGCAAACAGAAGGGCCTGGGAAGGTATCTCTGGGGCCGCCACAAGCCAGGGAGGTGTCTCCTTGGAACCCCCTACTTTGATGAGCTCACTGAAGAGGCGGCCACATTTCTCTTGGATCTTGGCCTTCACCAGCGGCTGATGAGGGTGTTTCTCCCTAACTGCCAACTGAATCAGACAAAAATTGAGCAGAGGACAATGTCAGACTTCCAGGGGCTAGAAGCAGACACCAGAGAAACCTCCAGACCTGAGTGAAGGAAAAGCAGGTTCTGTCAGAGCCAGAAGGTTCTGAAGAACAGGGAAGATCTTAGGGTCATTTAGGGATAGGCCTTCCTCCTGGAATGAAAGACAGGGACAGGATACCTACAGCTGGCACAAAACAGACCTGGAGAGATGAGAAGGGCACCTACAGATAAAGGCAGGACAAGACAGCATCAAGTCCAGCGGCAAGTGGTAGGCCAGAAAGCCAGACCCAACAAGGAGGCGGGCTCCATCCGGAAGGTACTGAGCGTGCAACCAGACTGAGGGCCCAGTCTGTGCCGCTGCTTCACAGAGGAGCTTCCAGACTCATCTAACAAAGGGCCCCAGGAACAGCTACTACAGGAACCTGTAAGGTATCGACCTTAGCTTCACCTTGCTTTTTAAGATGTTAACCAAGTTCTTTCCCCTCTAGCAATGTGCAGTAGAAACGTTAGAAATTAGAGGGACCAGGAAAAGTGGCATAGGATTTATAACCAACCTGGGTGGTGATGAACAAGACCATCCAGGGGCAGCCTCGACAGACTCCCAACCAATTCTGAAGCCTTGGACAATAACCTGCCCAAATGAGAACATCAAATCAGAGTCTACCAGCACCTCTACTCAGCCCAGCCAGACTGAAAGGCAAGACGCATAAATGGGTTACCTGGGGTAAGGAGCTAGAGTCTCAGATCTCCTATTGCTAGAAAGAAAGGGAGGCACTACTGCTTGCTCAACTCCCTCTAGTGAGGAGTTCAAATCCCGAGTCTCCCAGGGAGGGACCCCTGCTCTGACCCCTACAGTGCATAGCATCAGCAGTCTCTCCAAGGAGCTCACGTGGCTGAGGAAAAGGAGTGGTCAGGAGGGACTTCGCTGCCACCCGCAGAGTAAGAGCTGGTGGAGCCTGTGAGGCACAGAGGCTCCAGTGAGGCCGAACGGCGAGGAGGCCTTTTTTGCACCTCAGCCCCACTCTAGGGAGCTCTGCCTTGCTCATGTGCACCCTGCTGGCTGGCATGCAGTGGGCGGGCAGACACCTGTTGCCTGAGCACAGACATCAGCCCCGTGAGCTTCTGGGCCTTCCAGAGTTACATGGGCTGCATCTCTGTATTCACACCGGGCTCTCACACCTGTCACACCACCAATCCAGCCCTTGGAGAAATCCACCAGAGCGAGGGGGGTCCCTTTTGTTAACATGCCCTGTGGCTTTTGACATCTGACAGGGACTGGCAGGGACCTTTGAAAAGGCTCTTTGGAGCTGTGCCCTTGGGTGCAACACACTGTTCCCACATACGGTAGACTGTGGCTCCTTCGGAGCAAGGAGGCCAGAGCCACCCTACTCTACCCCTTGAGGAGAGCCCGCAAGTCTGTGATCAAGGACTCAGTCACACACATATCCCCTTTTGATAATTAAGTTTCTTTCTTTTGACTCCTCTAAGCCCCATTAAAGGGGCTGAGCTAAAGCATTCAAAGACATCCAGGCATGGGAGACTCTCAGTGGTGGGGAAGATAAGACCAACCTAAACAAGGTGATAAATGCCCAAGGAGTGGCAATGAGGTTGCAGGCAATCCTTGGCTGGAATGCCTGGGAAGGCTTGCTGGGGGAGTTGGTGTTTTAGGGCAAGCTGGGTTTTGATCAGGAGAGAAGTAAAGCTATGTTTGGTACAATGTTCAGGGAACAAGCTTGTGGACCCACATGGTGACTGTGCCTCTGTCATATTCAGTCGGTCCCCTGGGAGCTGCTCAAAGTTGCTATTTTATTTGGAAGAAAAGGGAATACAGCGTTCAGTGGAGTAGGCTATTAAATATGCTTAGCCTTTCATCCCTCAAAGAAGCACTTCTCCGCTGGTCCCACATGTTCAAAGCCATTCCAGAGTTTGTGGTCTCCTCCCAAAATTCCCCCTTGACCTATATGGCACTGACCATGACAAAAAGAATTAATTCACCATGGCCACTGCCCCAGACACCAGCAGCTAAACTGGAGTCTTGCACCATGTACCACCATCAGCTTCTACATGCCACAGGATCAGTCATGGGCTGAACCTGCTAGTAATTAAGAAAGCCACCCTTTGTCTCATCCCATCATGGGTTGGCTGATAAGCCTGTCTTTCCCCTTATGGCCTTCAGAGCCCCAGTGAGCACCCCAAGCAATGAAGTACCCACAAACTTCCCTGGTTAAATCCCCTGGCTCTCACTGTTCCCAGAAGTTTGTACAACTTTTCTTTAAGATTTATTTATTGGAGAGGGAGAAAGAGAGCGAGTGCATGTGCACAAGCAAGCAGGAGGAGGGGCAAAGGGAGAGGGAGAGAATCTCAAGCAGATTCCCCACTGAACACGGAGCCCAACCCGGGGCTCAATCCCACCACCCTGAGATCATGACCTGAGTCAAAATCAACAATTGGTCGCTCAACTGACAGAGCCACCCAGGCGCCCCTTGTACAACTTCTTAAAATCATCATTAAAGGCCTCAAGCTCTACATTTTTTTTTTTTTTTAAGATTTTATTTACTTATTTTGACAGAGAGAGACACAGCGAGAGAGGGAACACAAGCAGGGGGAGTGGGAGAGGGAGAAGCAGGCTTCCCGCCGAGCAGGGAGCCCGATGTGGGGCTTGATCCCAGGACCCTGGGTTCATGACCTGAGCCAAAGGCAGACGCTTAACGACTGAGCCACCCAGGCGCCCCGAGTTCTACAGCTTGATCTTGGGCAGAGCTGTGACCTCTCCTTCTGTTCTACCCTCTTACAAATGTTGTTTCCCACCCAAGTGACCTCCTTCAGTGAGTTGCATAGAGATGCTCCTTAAGTCTCAGGTCCACTATCAATTACTTTGTCCCTCTTTCTTTTCAGCCCAGATATATCAAATACGAATTCCATTTCTGCCCCTCCTCTAACACAGCCTTCTGGAAACAGAAGTATTAGGTAATTGAAAAGGGCCACGTCCACTAACCCTTGACAATACATATAATAGGGATCAGATAACTCCCAACAACAGAAGTCACAAATGGAGGACTAAAGATCTTATCAAGACCTGGCTTGTTGCAAGAGGTGCCTGAGCAATCAGTAATCAAATCCAGTACAGATGCCCAATGGCAGTAATATGGGAAAAAAGTAGTAGTGTTCATTTTCTTAGAAAACCAAATGAGGAGAGGCAGGAGAATATACTGTCCCAAACAAGAAAATGAGGCTGAAATTTTTTTAAGATGTACTGACCAGATCATACTGCTATGGGTAGGTCTTCCCTGGGCAGTGAGTTGTGGCAGCTCTTAGTCCACAGGAAGAACTCCCAAGGGCTGCATGGGACATGTCTTCCTGTAAAGGCCTTTCCATGCCCCCACAACCAAGCCATGCCTTAGATCACAGACCCTCACACCCCTGCAGATGAGCCTCACTGAGCCTGCACTTAATAGCTGTATAACTCCGGGCAAGGCATCAAACCTCACCAAGTCTCAAGTCTCCATCTGAGAAAAGGAAGAAGAGCAGCACCTACTTCCTAGGATCCCTGGGAGGATTAGGTGAGGAAATGGCTCTAAAGTGCTTGGCATGGTGTCTGCCAGAGAAAAAATAAACAGTAGTTAACATCATAAGGTGTTTCAGCTAAAGAAGGACATTGCTGCCAAGATCACCCTGAATGGCTGTAGGCATGTTTATAGCCGAGTCAGTCCTGTCCCAGCAGAAGGCTGGGCTGTTCTCTGTGCCAGTCTTTTCCCTGGGCAGGAAGAAAGGTCAGCCTCAAGACCTCACAGGGGAGCTAGCAGCACGCAAGGGTAGAAGCTGCCAGTGACGGCATCGGGCACCACAACAAAGACCTTCATTCAGACTCCACCCTTGAGACCAAAGTTTCAAAATGGCACTATTGACTTAAAATAAAAAAGCCCTTAGCCTGACCACGTTTGGAGGCTGTCCACCAGACCCGTGCCTGCTGTCCCGTATCGCAGTGAGGCCTGCTGGGCTACCAAGGACTCGGTCAGCTCCCACCTGTCAAGATGAGACGGGAGCGCAAGCGAGCCTCCCCCGTGGGAAGAGCGGAGCTTCCAGGAGAGAGAAGCACAGTTAGAGCTTAGAGGGCTCTGGAAACCTGGCTCAGCCACTGAGTGAAGGAAATAAAGTCCTAAAACAACGCTTATAAAGTCCTTGTGAAAACACAGGCAAATGTTCAACTAATGTTACAGGAAAAATGAAACTAAAAATTAACGAAAAAAAAATAAAAACGGCAACTATGAAAAACCAACTCAGGGGAAAATGACAGGTACAAGCGATAAGCATTGTTAACATCTCATTTGCCTGGGTGACATAAGGTGGATGGTTTTTGTTTAACCTATTCCTTATTTTATTCCTGTATACCCTTACCTTGTTCCCAAGATTATTGACAGCCGCTCAGTGTGACTTTTCCACAGATAAACAGTACTTCTACAAAATGTAACCTGGCTGAAGCTACCACTGCCTCCAGGAGAAAGGACTCACCCGCCTTCGCTCTCAGCATCTGTGAATGTGGCTCCGGAGGTGGCTGTGAAGTAGACAGAGCTGGACCCAGTAGAGTCACTCCTCTCCCGGGCAAATGGGAACCTTCGCCGCCGAGCCACTCTCTGGCTCTCTTCCATGTGGGATCTGAAAGGCAGGGCCCTTTAGAGAGGGTGCCATTAGGCCCCAGCCAGCCTGTCTTTCTCCTTCCCAGGAGGGAACCTCTTACTCCTGCTGCTCATTAAAGGGCCAAACACAGAGATAATCCCAGGTTTCTACCCTTAGGACAACACGAAGGGCAGCTCCCCGGACCCAGCCTGCATGGGCAGACCAGCTAAGTCAGAACAAAGCATGGCAGCCACTACAGCAGATCACGAGGGCCCTAAAGCAGCAAGGAACTTATGGAAAGCAAGGTACCAAGCCTACAGCTTCCCAGCCAATTACGTGAGAAGCTCTAAAACGGGCTTCTTCCTCAGAGAGAGCAGCAAGGCCAGGACACAGCTCAGCTGAGAAAGCCGGAGGGGCCAGGAGAAGCTGAGGGGCAGGGGGGCAAGGCGGGACAGAAGGCTGCATCACTCACCGGACCTCCCCAACAATCTGCCCAGCAAGCCCCTGCAGGCTGCTCCTCAGCTCCTCTACCTCGCGCCGCAGGGCCACCAGACTGGTCAGCACCAAGTCCACGCGCTCCAGCACCTCCTCCTGGCCTTCTCGCGGAAGGCTGGGCAGTACCGCAGCGTCTCCAGCCTCGCCGGGGACTGCCCGAAAAGGCCTCACTGAAGGAAGCACAGCACAGTGATGCTCAGGGGACAGAGTGAGGAAAAGACCATGGACCTGGAATTTAAGAACACTTGCTTCTCACTGGAGCTCAATTTACCAAAACCCTTGAAGCTCAGACAGTATATGTTCATAGCTAAGTCCCGGTAACAAGTCTTCAAGTTACTATTCAAAGAAAAAAGAAAATCAAGATTCCCAATCTCTAACCAAGAGCCCCCTCTGTTCCAAGAACCTGTCACACCAGGGCCTTTAGCAGTATCGCACGCCACGGCAGGTGACGTAAAATGCTCGCAGTACCTAGAAGAATGCAGTACTTAGAAGGCAGGACACCTGCCCTGTGAAAGGAAAATAAAACCCTTTACCTGTCCGTCTAGTTCCCGTGTACCAGGCAGTCAGTACTAACCCCACAGCAAAACTAAAATTGAGCCCAAATTCTGAGCTTTCACTTCACAAAGAACAGCAAAAGAAACTCTGAGATCCTCTCAAGGACTTCATTTAGTATCATCAAAGAAGGGCAAAGAGAAAGGGGCAGTTACTAAGAGAAAAGGCCATCCACACCCCATGGGAAAAACCATTCCCAAGCCCTCATTTGAGCTCTGGGTAAAAATTCCCACAATAAATGCTAATAAACTGGTAGCTACCCAAGGCCATTGGACTGGAAAATGTAAAAACAGTAAAGAAACCAGGAAGGCAGGACCCACAGTCCAGGCAAGCATGAATGTGTTAAAGGAAATCTACTAAGAGTCTAGGCTGGATTACAGTACACACCCAATATCATTCAAGAATTTCTTGCTCAAGACAGCAAGAAAAATCTCTGGGGGGCACCTGGCTGACTCAGTTGGTAGAGCATGCGATTCTTGATCTAGGGGTTATGAGTTCGAGACATTAAGTTAGAGATTACTAATTTAAGTATAAAGATTAAGTGTAGAGATTAAGAGATTAAATCATTAAGTGTAGAGATTAAATAAAACTTTAGAAAAGAAAGATCTCTGGGAACATAGCCACTTTCTCCAAACATCTACTGCTAAGAAATTACAAATAAAGCACAAGGAAAAGGAAAGACAATCACACTTGAAATACTAGGTTACTAGCCAGTTGCAATCTAAATTGATAACTCTTTGAAGACTCTTCTAAAACAAACTTTTCCAATCCATCTGGCATTTGGTAATCAGAGAAACACTCATTCCCAATTAACATAGGGTGACATGATCTCAGTGCTTCTCTATTACACACACCTGAGGAGAGTGGTTTGAACCAGCCCTAGATGCTTTGCTCAAATAACATAAGGTCAAAGTTCTGCAAAACAAAAGCAATATCCATTTCAGCTGTGGCTGGCTTCTAGCAACATTCAGCTTCAGCTGCAGAACATGCACTCCCACATCCATACTGTGCAAGTTCACAGGACCAGGTGACCAGGCCCAATCCTACCACTTAATTGCTCTGTAACACCCTGGGAAAAGTTATACAATCTTTTCAAATCTCCATTTTCTCCTAAGAAGGATTTAAAAAAAAAAAAAAAACTTGGATAGTTTCCAAGTTCCCTTCAAATTCGAATACATAATTTAATACATAAGCCTCAAGACTTAATTCCCCTAAGATCAGTTTTCCCTTCTACCTTATTTTGGACTCTTTCTTTACTTATTAAACCCCTCACCCAACACTAAGCAAGTGCCTTTAAAACATACGTGGCACTATTGTGGCCTGAACTAAGAGTGAAAGCTAAACAAGCCTTTTCACAATATACTTTCCTGGGATTACAGGAAAAAGTAGAGGAAAGCTGCTTTCCTTTTCAATAAGCTTTACAGAAAAGTGAAACTCTCAGGCACCCCCCACCGCCGTTGTCCTGTCCCACAGGCTCTGCTAAAGGCAGCCCGGACCCTAGGCCCATCCGTCAGCCACGACTGTGGCCTCAGGGGACCGGCTCGTACCCTGGCGTCCTGGCTCTGGGGTCTGCGTGTAGTCCAGGGAGTTAGGTAGGCTCTGGCTGTGGCCATGGCGCTGGGTCCGTTTCCACCGCTGGCTGTAAAGGGCACACAGGAATCCAAGGCCCGCGGCGGTGCCCAGCAACAGTCCCAGCCCGGCTTGGGCACCGCCCAAGACCCCCAGTCTAGACATGCTGCACCTGCAGCCCACGTGAACCACCGGGAGTAGGCGGGCGGGGACAGGGGGGAGAGAGATTCGTGAGCGTGATCCTCCCCCCCCCCGCGAAGCTCCCGACTACCCTCACCCCAATCCGGATCCTAAGGTTTCCGCCAGACCCCTGTGCCCGACTACCGTGCCTCTCACCCAACTTGGACGCAGCCTCCCCTCCAACATACCCGCAGCCCTGACCTCAGAGTCAGGTTTCTGGGCCTCCAACTCCCGCCCCCAGCCCCACGACACTGCAGACAACAAACCCATCGCCCCGGCTGCAAACTCCAAGCCACCCCCCGCGCCCTCGGAAGGCGCCCTGGCCCGGCAGCGGATCAACTCAGAACCCTACCCGGCCGCTCACAACCAAAGAAGCAGCCGCCACGGCCACCGCCTCACGCTGTCAATGACCGTGACGTCATCAAGCGGCGCCAGCAGCCCCGCGCGCCCTTAGGAACACGCGATGAGACGACCGCTCGGGGCTCCACTTCCGCCTACGCTTTACCCAGGGGGCGGCGCCGGCAGCGAGCGGGAAAGGGGGACCGAGGAGCGAGAAGGGAGGTGGGGAGGAGGAGAGCTGGGTGACTTCTGGGTCGGATGCTCCAGCAGTACCCGTGTCTGGCCAGATGAGGTTCCATTTCCCTCCAGTCACGCCAATTTTCCTGCTGTTCCCGAATGTCTTTCTCCCTTTGCGTCTACTGCCTAGAATAACCCGTTGTCATTCTGGAAAACCACCCCCTCCCCACCTTTCCTTGACACTCTGTCAGAACTAAAGACTTTATTTGATTTCGGCTTGATTTACTCATGCATTTTTACTGGAACCATTTACTGAGCACAAGACAGTAGCACCTTCGGCAGTTCAAATTAGAACAGATAAACGGTTGGTTACCTACAAGAAGTCCCGGAGTCACCAGGGCCAGCTTCTGCCGGTTGACACTTAAAAACTCGTAACAGATGCAAACCCCAGCACTAAAAAAATCTTAAGTTATCCGTAGTACCTTAATCAAGAACAGGGTTATATACTGTTTTCCCATTTCCAGAATGTAAATGAAATTCATTCCTCTAATGATGACATTTTTTAAGCACTTGGGTGAGGCTGAAACTTGAGTTGATCTCTAATTGCTTAAATTAGTTCAGATACCATTTCATTTTTTTAAAAAGCTGTATTCTTCAGGATTTCTGTGCCCACTGTGAAAATTAATAAAGGGAAACCACTAATGTAGACACAGGCTGCTAGAAGGGAAGACTGGAAGGGGCAACCTGATGTCAATTACAGGAAGAATTGTCAGTTACAGACCCCTAGCAGAAGAAACTCAATAGAAGACAATCATAAATTACAGGCTCCCACAGAGAAAGATGTACATTGCATCCCCTGCAATAAATCGGCTGCCCCTGCAATTCAGCCAATGAAAAACCATCATCACCCTAAACTCTTGCTACACTACAATGGCTTGGTGTTCAAAACAACTCCTCCCAACTGCCCCGTTCTTTTCCATCAAGTAACATTCCTCTCCTTTTTTTGTTGAACTTGCCTATGGTTTTGTTGTAGCTTCCTTGTCCTGGATTGCAAACCTGTGCTGTTCCTGAATACACCTATGTTTTTGCTGGTAAAATAACTAGCAGTTTTAAGGTTAACACCACCATTACCCATCGATTTTTTTTTAAAGATGTTATTTATTTATTAGACAGCGAGAGAGGGAACATAAGCAGGGGCAGAGGGAGAAGCAGGCTTCCCAACCACTGGGGAGCCAAACCCCAGGACCCTGGGATCATGACCCGAGCCAAAGGCAGACGCTTAACGACTGGACTGAGCCACCCAGGCGCCCCTACCCATTGATTTTTAAAATTCCACTTTGAGGTTTTATGCAACTTCTTATAATTTAAAAACTGAAATTACAGGACTACGATTCCAGTGTTACCACCAGCATTTCTTTCAAGTTAAAATTTTGTTTGGTGACAGGTGAATTATCTAAACGAATCCTCCTCAAATCCTTGACTAGATATTGTATTTTACAAATAAGAGTACATTTAATGTACATTGTAAAGAACAATTTAAAGGCAACAAGGTTCCTACCCTATAGCTTAAGGAATAGAAATTTACCAATACCTTCTGCTCATTTTTTTTTAATTTTTTATTTATTTATAGAGAGAGAGAGAGAGAATGGTAGAGAGAGAGCATGAGAGGGAAGAAGGTCAGAGGGAGAAGCAGACTCCCCGCCGAGCAGGGAGCCCGATGCGGGACTCGATTCCGGGACTCCAGGATCATGACCTGAGCCGAAGGCAGTCGCCCAACCGACTGAGCCACCCAGGCACCCCCTTCTGCTCATTTTTAAGGATTCAATTCAACTGGTGTCTTCTGAGATACACTGACTATAATTGTCTTGGTGGTGAGAAAAGGGTGTTTTTAATATACTTTTTCCATAATTTTTTTCTCATTTTTCTGAGATACGCATGTGTTTCTTTAGTAATAAGAAAAAATAATAACTTTTGGAGAGAAAAAAAGTCATTTCCTTTGCAGAACCTTCCCAGACTACCACCTTGGTGGACTTAATCTTTTTATTTTTCTTTGCTCCTGAGGCTTGGTTACCTCCATTACACTTGGTTCCATGATTATTTGTTTTCTAGTCTGTCTACGCAACTGGAGTGTTCACTCATCCAGGTTGGGGTTCATGCTCAATTCATCTCCACATTCCCTGAGCTCCAATGCGGAAGCCACCCATAGAAGCTGAATGTGGAGGAAGGAAGGAAAGAAGGAATAACCAATATCCAGGCCCGACCACTTAGACAATGCCTTCATGATGAAAACCTGACTTGTGGAAGAACAATCTCTCCTCTTTCTGCAGGCGAGGAAGATCTGCCAGATAAACTGACTGTGGCAAGAGGCAAGGCCAGATGGGCAGACCAAGCGGGGGAATTCATTTCCCTCTGGATATTAAAGATGTTATCTGGTGGGCATGTGGCTGCCAGAGCGATCAACAGCAGGGTGGGTGATTCTGGATAGAGCTCTCTATCTTATGTGGCATCTGCAGACCAGTTTTGCAAATGTAATAAAGCCCTGGCAGCCTGAGATATGCACTTCCTTCCCATCTCCTCCTCACCCCAGCCCAGCCTGAGAGAGGAGAGCAGAGCAGCCCCCAAATTCCTGCTCTCATTTCTGCCCCAAACAGGCAAGCCTCATCTACCCACCTGGCTCTTCTAAGAGAGGCAACATAGTCAAACGCCTTGGGATGGTGGCCGGTAAACCCCCTGTGTCTAAACACTAGTGTACTCGACACTTCAAAATTGTTCTTATTAAATATTTAATAGCTACAAAAGGGTATTTATAATACATATAATACAATAAAGATTGAGGACATGTATAACCCTTAGCATCCAGGTGCTAGTGTGAGAAAGAGAACATCACTATTGCCTTGTAAGACTCCTGCATGGCTGTCCCTGCCTGGTCCCCTTCACTTCTCTCAGAGGTAAACACTGCCCTGAATGTTACATTTATCATTCCCTTACTCTTCTTTATAATCAACCACATATTTTTTTATTTTTTATTTTTTTAAGATTTTTATTTATTTATTTGAGAAAGAGAGAGAATGAGAGATAGAAAGCACGAGAGGGAAGAGGGTCAGAGGGAGAAGCAGACTCCCTGCTGAGCAGGGAGCCCGATGTGGGACTCGATCCCAGGACTCCAGGATCATGACCTGAGCCGAAGGCAGTCGCTTAACCAACTGAGCCACCCAGGCGCCCCCACATATTTTTTTATTGAAGTGTAATTTAACCATATGTTTTTCTATCCCCAAACAATGTATTATTTTGTTTTGCAAGTTTTGAGCTTTAAGTAGAGTCGATCTCTATTTTTCCACAATTTACTTTTGCACTTAGCATTTTTCATTGCTATGCAGTTTCCATTGTATCGGTCAACCAAAAACGTAACTCCACTTTTGATGGATGTAAGGACTGCTTCCATTTTTTTGCCAAGAACAAACAGTGCTGTTATGAATATTCTTATACATGCATCCTGATGAGTGAGTTTTATCGAGGAGAGATTTAGCTGGGTCATATCCATGCACAACTTCAGCTTTGCTAGATGATGCCAAGCTGTTTTCTGAGGTGATTGTATCAATCATAACATTTTGCAATCCCAACAGTAGTGTTCTAGTTGTTAGACCTTTTCACCAATACTCAATGTTTACAGATTTATTTATTTATTTATTTAGCAAATCATTAAAGTAGTATCTCATTGTGGCTTAAAATGTAGTTTGAGGGGCACCTGGTTAAGCCTCAGATTTTTGGTTTCGGCTCAAGTCATGATCTCAGGGTGGTGGGATCGAGCCCCGTGTGGGCTCAGAGCTCAGCTCAGAGTCTGCTTGAGATTCTCTCTCCCCCCTCCCTCTCCCCTGGTGTTCGCTTTTTCTGTCTCTCTAAAATAAACAAATGAATCTTTAAAAAATAAAATATAGCTTGATTTGCATTTCTGGGATTTCTTTTTTAAGATTTTATTTATTTATTTGACAGAGAGAGACAGCGAGAGCAGGAACACATGCAGGGGGAGTGGGAGAGGGAGAAGCAGGCTTCCCGCGGAGCAGGGAGCCCGATGCAGGGCTCGATCCCAGGACCCTGGGATCATGACCTGAGCCGAAGGCAGACGCTTAACGACTGAGCCACCCAGGCGCCCCGCATTTCTGGGATTTCTAATGATATTGAACATCATGTTATCGGTTTATTGGCCATTTCCATTCCCTGTTTTGAAGATGCCTATTCAAGTCATTTGCCCTGTTTTTTCTATTGATCTATCTTTATATTGTTGATTTGTAGGAGTTCTGTATATGTCCTGAGTATTAATCTTTTGTTAATCCTTCGTTAGGCATGAATATCTTCTCTCTCTAGCTAAATTGTTAGTCTCGGAGGTGGAGAATAGGGGTAGAGAGTACAGAATAGTCAAACAGACCAGTAAGAGTCCTTTAGGTTTACACCTGCCTATTTCCCTTACTGCGCTCTCCACCACATCCGTCAAGCTGCCGGAGGCACAGAGCACGGCCTGTAAGTGCCCAAAGATTGTTCAAGGGCCAGGAAGGTTACAGGCTGTTTCTTTTTGCTTTTTTAGAGAACCAATCAGAAGGCAGGTAAAGAATCTTTTGAGTTTTCAGATTTTGAAACATCTAGATGGAAGGTGTGGACACACCGAGATGCACTTGCTGCCCTCTCATCGGGGGCTGGTGCCCGGGATATAGTGTTTCTGCTTCAGGTGTTGCCTAGCGATTTACCGCGCGTGCGCTCCTTCTCTCCGGGGCCAGATTCCATTGGTTTAAATCCCTCCGGGACTGGCACACAACCAAACGCACAGTTCCTTTACAGATTTACCTATGGGGCCACAGAAATGCAAGGTTCG